TTACCGCCACATTTAATTTTTATGTCAACATGTCAACAAAAGATGGCGGAATATGGTCCGTTCATATACATACTATCGTCACAGAGTACCCAATATTGGGTACTCTGTGCTATCGTAAGTATATGGGTCCGTTGGTAATACATTGCACTTAGCGTTCCATATTATTAGTTGTTCTAACCAAGTTTGTCTAAACTAATGGTGGTAATAGTCCTCCAAAACTTCTGCAGCTTCACCGATTCAGCGTTTGTGTGCGTGAAAACGTAAATGATGCGTGTGTATTAATGCCTTTTTTTCGGAGTTCACTTTTTTCTCGGTGGTCAGCGGTTCATGTGGTAAAAAAAACACAAATATCGACTGTCACTGATTACATCATCGCAGCTCGTTTCAAGCAGAGCTTAATTTATTATTAATCTAAAAAAGTTCTTGTAAATAAAATATTGTATCTAAACATTTTTGAAAAAAATATACCTACTTACATTACGCAGTTTTAGTCGTTGAAAGACTGATTCGACGATTATTTTGCATATTTGTCGTAAAAAAAATATTGACTACCTTAGGTTAACTGTAGCAATATAAAGCAGTTATAAATCATGAGGCTTGATTTAATGCTCTCAATTTGACATCAACGATAAAGATGAAGAGCGGAATCTTGTGATACATACTGAAATTAGTTAATTATCAGATTAATGGTCTGGATTCATGTTCATGGATTATTATTCACTGGCCGGCCGAATACGCGCACTCGACATTCTCACAGTCATTATCTCCAATGTACAGTATAATTATGTTAAATAATAAATATTTAATAATAAGAGGAGCACACACAGACAGGGACGTAACCAGTAGTGACCCATGGCCCACCTAACTGGCATACGCAAATGAGCTGAATGACTTTTCACTTGAAATAGAGAAATATACTAATAGGTAAAAAATGACTTGATGATTTTTCTAAATTATTTAAATGAACTTCATAATCTCTCGTTCTAGGCCTATGCTGCAATAGGATTTTACTATCTTAAATTAATATTCTTAAATATCCTGAAAAAATGTATAACGTGGCAACACTATTATTTCGTACTGTGACATAATGTATCGTAAATAGATTTTATTACATAATTTGTAGGTTATATCTCACCCACACAAGAAACACATTGTTTATAATTTTATTTTGGGACCTCAAAAATTTGTTAAGGGAAATGTTAAAACTGTATGAAGTTTCCGATGAATTAATATGAGAAACTGGTAGATGAATTCATTTATCTTGATTGTTGCAAATAAAATTTTGTCCTAAATTATAATTTTAGTGTTACATATCCAAATTGAAAATACAACAGAAATTTATAAAACTTAAATAAATATAATGAAACAAACACGTTAAGTATAAGCATCTAAGATAATTTTTTGAATGAAGATTATCTTAATTAACATTATTTAACATCGATCTATATGGTTGCGTGCTTAAATACCCCAAACATTTGTTTTATTTAAAAAAAGCACAATGTATTCCGACTGCTTGGTTTTGGAATTCATGCAAATTTGCGCAGCTTGTTCATCCTAGACGTTAGAACTCGCTTTTGCATTAAATGAAGACATTAAGAAATGTTCAATCTGACTTAAATTCATTACTCCACCGGCAACTTATTCAACAAGTCATGAATACATCACAGTGTCATGCAAATAAGTCTCAGGCTCACAGCATGTATTTGAAAATCTCATAATTTTTATTCACTACACATAACCGATCGACATGTGATATTCTGACATTCGATCCAAAACACTTACATCATTGGAATAGGAAACATTTGGTAACAACTAAGGTTAAGGTTAATGTGATTTAATTAATTGGTATACTTACTCGGTAACAATGTACGATTTAACAAATTAGTGACATTTATTATTTATTTATTGAATAGATTTGCTGATTAAAACTAAATTTGGTTAGACGGCATACCAGACCGTAAACGATATTCAATTAGACCATATACCATAAGTGACAGCTGTTACATAATCTCCAATAGTACAATGTAATAAATCTGTCTGTGCTCCCTATTAAACCAATTCTCACAAAGTAGGTACAGCCCATGAGCAAGTTTTTGTAGGTATTACTTATCAATGTCAGGCAATCTATTATCGAAGTAGACGATCGCAGAGCAACAGATAACTTAAGAATGAGTTGTCATGGGTTTGTTATTAATTGGCACTGCGTTTAAATGATGGTTAAAGTGATTAGCGTGAGGCAAACTACAAGCTGCGTTCCAAAGTAAACAGAACTTTTCAAAAATAGGTACTTTTAGTGGATCCATCTATTAGCAATTACATGCGTTGGAACTGTATCACTGATATACTGTCAAAATATTAAGTTTTGTTTTTAAACTTGGTAAAACTTTTACTAAAACGTTTCAATTGATCAACTAAGTTTGTGGCGATGATCGTTTATCCCGTGGCAGAGTTCATGAGTAGTACACGCGGTTTAAAAACGGTCATGAGAACATAAATGTTGAGCAACATGTTGGCCAACCGAAATCTGTTAATCACTGTAGATTCCATCAAAACTATGCGTGAATTCATCAAAGGTTAACCAAAATCTTCATTGAAATAATTCATGGAATTGGAATTGAGCATCTCAAAAACATCAGTTTAATGGATTTTGGCTGATCATTTGGGTTACCGAAAAATGTGTGCGGGGGACTCCAGCATACCTACGCGAAAAGGCCTACTTGGGGAATCCTGCATATCACGCGGAGAGGCCTACGTGGGGGATCCCGCATACCTTCGTGGGGATACCTGCGTGGGGGCCCTAGGGGCAAAGACTTAGGTGGGGGGGCCTCTTCCGTAGGGAAGGCTACATTTTGAATCTCCCACCAAAATGCTGATGCGCTCTGATTGGCTGGACGGGGTAGGGAGGGGGAAGGGAAAAGGTGGAGGAGTGGGGGTGGTCTGAAGTGGCACAATACCTACTCACGGTTTGTTCCGCACAAGTAACTGACGACCATTGCTCAGAATTCAACATTTGACGAACATCATCAAAGAGGCCAAAAACGACAAAAACTTCTTTACAACATTGTGACTGGTGATGAAACATGGAGTTTTCAATATGCTCCAGAAACCAAGCGCCAAAGTGTCGAGTGGAAGGTGCCACACGAGCCAAAACACAAAAAATCTTGTAACTTAAGGTCCAATTTTCTCACATTCCTTTTATTTTTAAAAAAGACCACCGTTTTGGAGATCAAACTTTACACCTCATCTTCTGGTCTTACAAGGCTAAAATATAATAATATTTTTTTCTAAAAATATGTCAGATTATGTTTAATTTTCATTTTATAGAAATCAAATTATGTTTTATTTTATTAACCTATTTAATAATTATTGTTCTGTTAGACTCTGCACGTGCACTAAGCCTAGTTATCAGTGAAAATGTAATCAATATTTTTAACTTATTTTAGAAAATAAGAAAAAGTCCAATTTATCTCACAATCCTTTTATTTTTTAAAAAATGGCAACCGGTTTCGAGATCATTATTTTCTAAAATAAGTTAAAAATGAAAAACTCACATTTATCAATTTTGAACGAAATATAATCAATATATCATAATTTTCTCCTTTTCGACATTGTTTCTTAATCAATCAATATGTAGTCAGAATGTAGAATACACGGTGTGTTCTTTAGATTCATACAACCAACCTACATCACATTTATTAAAATGTCGCTGTATACGAGAAGCAGACTAGCTAGAATATATCGAAATTTTGAGAATTTCGGAAATTAATTTCAGTACATTTAATTTATAAAGGAATTTTAAGAAATTGTTTTCAACATTTGTTTGTATTGTGTTAAAAATTATACATTTTTATGTGAAATTAACAATTGGGATTATTTCCTTATTATTATTAAGTGATAAAAATAGATATTTTATCCCTGTAAAATTAAGAATAAAATGCACTTATTATTTTCTAAATTCTCTATGATGCCAAAATTAAGAGATTCTTAATATCTCACTGATGGAGGTAATGGTATACAAATGTACTGAATTTTTATCTTTAATCAGAACACCTTCAGTAATTTTTGAGTAAATTATCGGAGACATCTTAATTCAAAGTATGTCAGTTTTAACTAACTTACTACTCAACTACTCAAAAGTCAGTGAGATTAACAAAACAACATTTTTTATATAATTAAAATATTTTAAAATAGAGACATCTTAATTGGTGTACATTTTTATTTATTTGAGGGTAATATATTAGTACTAGAATTTTTTAGAAAATGACATATGGGGAATAATTTTTTACCCCGCCCTTGACTACCCCATTCCTTTTTTATAGGTATGCATGTGGTTGAATTGCATATTTTAATAGAACATTCGTATTTAAACAGTTTATCTCGTACAATTTTGATATCCCATAAATCAGTTAATAATTCTCCAAATTTGACTAAAATCGTCCCATTTTGAAGTGAAATATTTTGATTACAATAAGAAAAACGAGCGGCACTCTATGAAAGTTGAATGCAGTACATAACACATTAAAATCCCCTATAAAAAATAGGGTCAAACCGAAATTAATTCAAATTTATATCTACACAAGAAGTTGCCTAAACTAAAGCAATGGTGTGGAATCAAGTTGTTCTAAGATCACGCCTCCTAACTCGACGTCAAACTATCTAGACCTGTTATTTTCTAAGAAGTTAAATTAATCGAGTTTTTTAACTTAACCTTAGGGATTGTACCGTTCCTTTAATGAACTTCTAGTCGACTTCTTCAGTAGATACGTGGGCCTACTCTCATAAGTTTACGGTTTAGCCGCATTTAACCATATTTAACTAACTGTATACCCACATGTTTTAATGAACGTTACAAATTATTTATTAATAATTTAGATCATCGAAATTCTGATTGTAGATTAGATATGAATTAAACGGTTGTGATTAAGATGTATATCTTTCACTTTAATTCTTTTTTACTGTATCGAATATTCGACCTGCATCGTTGCTTTTTTTTGTTGCAGACATTGATGAATGCGCCTCGGCTCCATGTCAGAATGATGGAACGTGTATAGATTTAGAAAATTCCTTCAAGTGCAACTGTTCGAGTGCCTGGGAAGGGAACTTATGTCAATTCGGTATGTTATACAACTAAGAATTAAATCATTACAATTATCGTTACCGTTTTTGCAGATGTAGATGAATGCCTGACGAACCCTTGCATCAACGCAATATCTTGCACAAATTTTGTTGGCGACTATCATTGCAAATGTGTCATAGGGTGGACGGGAAAAAGCTGTAGTCAAAACATCAACGATTGCGTTGGGCAATGTCAACATGGAGCTACGTGTATTGACTTAGTCAACGATTATCACTGTGCCTGCCAACCGGGTTATACAGGTAAGTTGCTTATGCCCGGCAAAATTAAAAATTATAATTCTATAATTATGCCATACAGTAGCAATGTTCGATACTGATATCTGGATGTGTTTTGTCCTTTTATAGTTATTGCAACAGATGAAAAAAAAGAGGCGCATGGCGCATCTAGATGTTAATACCGAATGTTAATAGTGCATCCAAAGAACCTTAAAAAACTTGAAAGAATATAAAGCACTGACACACGTTGACTGTATTCCGTGAAAACAACTTTAACGTGATATAAAAAAAAATACTATTACAACTTTACAAGCACTCATTGTGACGAAGTAAATGGTATAGAATTAGTTAATTAATTTGATATTACATCATTTACATTTACTAATTTTTGACTTCCTAAAAAATTGGCTAATTGGCTAAATGCAAGTTATATTGGTAGGTACATGTAATATAAGAATAATAAAATAAATAATAAAATATAAATAAATATAATACCTATACGTTATGATAAATCTTCCATAAATAAATAAAGTAGCTAAGAAATTTTTTTTAACAACAGGTGATTTATACTCACATATTTCACATATAATAGCAATAAGGTCTTACCTGAAATTTAAAAAAGTTGATATTCATTGAAGAAAGGAAGAAGTGGCTGTCCGATTTGATTAATGCCGCTTGACATTCAAATGTGTCATGTAGTTTTTTAAGTTTTTTAAAATTATTATAGTCTTCTATTTTTACTTTCTTTACTTTAAATGTTCAGCCAATTCAAATTAATTTATTTATTTTAATTCTCTTCAGTTGTAAATAACTTAAAAAAATAATCTGTCTTAAGTAGTATTTATTAAACAAAATATAACATATTTTAACATATAAAATGGTGTTGCAAACCTTCAACAATTTTTGTTTCAAATATAACCCTTGGACACATATCAACACTTTTATCCAAGCCAATAATTTATTTCTGCATTTAATTCTTTTTTAATTAATTTGAAGAAAGTTTAATAAAAGTCGTCATTAAAGAGTATAACGATTATGAAATTGATCTGAGTTGAACTATTTTCTATTTTAAAATTGCTTTACTGCAAAGTCACTTGGCATCTGAAAAGGAAATCGAGACATGCAAGAGCAAGCCACTAAACACTAAACCAACATAACGGACGCGTCATTTACGGATACTATAAATATGGAACTGTGAATGTTAAAACGCGCTCTGGAAATCTTCGTGCAAAACGTGGAATAGGAATGTGTCATTAAAATTCGTTCTGACGTGCGAATGTTAACTTTACACAAACCGGGCATCATCAGTTAAGTCTCCGCTATAATGAAAACGGCGGATAGTAAGAGATGAAAGTTTAAAATATACCTACATGCAAGCTTATCATTTAGCGTTTCACGTTTCGCGTAAACTGGATATTATACCATTATTGACACTCCCTTTCGACTACCAAACGCATAATGTTGGCAGATTATACCTCGAAAATATCTACCTCTACTGTTTTTTTATGTTTTTATAAAACAAAAGTAGCTACTCTTCTGGTGGTAATATTGAAAGGTAGTAGTGCTCATGATCTGTACTGGTAATATGAGATGTTAAAATCCATATATGCCTAATCAAACTTAATATTCAAGATTCTTGGCTGAGGTGGCTGGACTATAATTTTTATTTCCATTTCGATTAAGGGAATTTTTCTAATTTACTGATTAATTCGTTTAACTATGGAAAATTTATATTACCTATGTTTCATCTTTCATCGCCTCCGTTCTTCAATTAGTCACAAGTAATTCATTAAAATTATTACAAAATTAATTAACTTGACTAGAAATTCAATCAAGTCAAGTAGTTTGAAGAAGATTCTACTTGATTTGATTTTTTGACTGTAAGCAAGATATTTACACTTAAGAAAAACAAACAAACTTTATAGTGCCCTAAAAATCGCTGAATATAAATCGACTTATTGCCTTTTAATTTCTGAACATAGCCAATTAAATAGATATGATAATAAATACAAATGACAATTAATGATTTAACAATAAAAATAAAAATAAAGATACGCATAACAATAACAATAATAATAATAAAAACAACAATAACAACAACAATAATATACATTTTTTATTATTACCTCTTATACTTACTTTTACTTTATTTGCTACGAATTTATCAGATAATTCTATTTTCTCATGTTTACTTTTCGATACTAAATACATCTACTTAGATATGCCAAAGAAATAACTCTAATAAATTAGTTACTATTGATTTTTTACGATTACTACTTGACTTGATTTTCTGTCACTACGTTTTGACTTGATTTCGGGCAATTTGAAGGATGCCAATTGATTGATGTTCCTATTTTCAACATTTCTTACTTTATTTTAAACAATTTATCATAACGTAATATTAATATAGGGTATTAATTTTACATAAACAAACATCTTTATTCTGACTGCTATCTCTTTATATTAAATAAAAAAATCAAGTACCCTTGACAAGGCTACTTGATTTTTTACCCCACAAGGCTGCCTTGTAGGATTATCTAATGGAGAGTTTTCAAGTACTTGAAATATAACTACTTGCTTTTACTTAACATTTACCTACTATAACTTGACTTAAACTTTTTGATTTGAAGTAAGCCAGCATGAAATCACTAGACTTGATTAATCCATAAATTTGGGCCTACGAATTAAAACAATAACGCTTTTAATTCATTTTTATTGTCCCCTTAACTAATTGTTTAATGCTATTGAAGAACTATACTCCGCGGTCGAAATTATAGAGTGACTCATCGCTAGCTTTTGGACTAGTAAGGGGGATGAAGCGTGCCGGGAACGAAAATCCATTGGCATGTCTGCGTAAAAGGCAACAAGATATAGAAAATATTGAAAAAGATAATAAAACATAACTTCTAATATTTTTTACGGTTTGCTATAACCGGCACTTTGATCCATTTTAATTATTACAGCATTTTAAATTTATGGATTCTATCGATGTGCGTAGCGAGCGGCACAAAGATAAATAATATTGAACCGTATAAAAATCATTTTATATTTTATACGCATTATGGTAATAGTGTTTTTATATTATGTCTGAGTCACTCTCTATAATTTCGACCGCGGAGTATAGATATCTGAGTACAAGTAAAATTTGGTTTTAGTTAAAAAAAAATGTTAAATATTATTTTATTTGTTTTACTTTATTTATTATAGGGAGAGATTGTCACACGGACATTGATGACTGTGCATCAAACCCATGTAAAAATGGAGGAGAATGTGTTGATCAAGTAAATGGATATAGATGCATTTGTCCTGTTGGTATTACTGGCGGTAATTGCGAGGTAAGTAACTAATTAACAAGAAAATTTAATAGAAATTAGTTATAAAATTTCACGTCGCATTTTACAATGTTTTAGTTATTGTTATTTTTTAAAATAGTGTCCGCCCCAAGCACATGTGCATCTAAGGTTGTACCCCATGACGCATAACGTGTGATGCTATTCACTTCATATTATTTTATTCAAATTGCAGACTACTATTTGAGCGAAAAAAATGCACAAACTATTACCCATTGATAATTTAGTGAATGCCAAATTATTCAATGTAAGTAGTCATCATTGACATCGAAATAAATCCTTGCAAGAGTTATTAAGCATAATGACCAACATTTACTTATTTCTTGCGGCAAACAAATCATTTAGTCGCTAATGTCCACAGCAACAAGAAGCATCATGATGCCTTTGGCGACATTTAACTAGATAATCGGCCCACAACGGTTATAAAAGCTCGACAAAACAACAGTAGAGGCGGTACCACTAGCGCCCGAGATTTTAAATATTAGCCTCTTAGCCTTGCACCTGTTTTACATTATTTTTAATGGTTGTAAAGTACAGTGGTCATGTAATGACGTTTAGACAAGTTGTTGTAGGCGGACACATGAATAATTCATGACGCGAAATGAATAAAATTGAGTTGCATGCTCGAGTTCCTTGATGTTCTCATTCGATCGTCTCTTTATTTTACAGAACGATTATGATCACTGCAATCCCGATCCCTGTCAGAACGGCGCGCCTTGCTTTAAAACGCAGTCTGATTACTATTGCCACTGTCCTGAAGGGTGGCAGGGGAAAAACTGCAGCCAGGCCAGTATGACGTGCGACAGTCCACCTTGCGACGACGGTAAGTGTTTTAGTTATTGTTATCATTTAATTATTAATTTACTATTGGTGATAACTTTATAAAATACAGGGTGTCATTGGAAATGTGTCTAACGTTAAATAGGGAACAAATACGTAATTTAAAAAAGATCCTAGGAAAATTGTATTTATAAAAATATTTACATACTTTAAGACCGGTCCTTACTTGCTGATCGTTGATATGGTAATAATCAACTTATTGGTAATAGCAGTAATCATAATCATTTACGGTGAATGTCAGCAAAATACTGCGGAGGAATCTCGTCGTTTATAGAACGTTTTGCAATAAGATTCACTCCTGCCACGCAAAAATTTGTTGTACTTGATACAACGAGCCCTGGTTTTAGCAGCTAATACGGCGACGTTTAGTCGCAAGGGGATGAACATGTTCCTCCAAAATACACACGTAAGGGCAATGGAAAATCTACAAGCAACTCGAAAAACAAATTTTCAATTACGGTTTGTAATAAATGTATGGACAGGGATTTTTAACGGTACTCTTGAGACTATTAACGATAATCTTAATGAATCCTTTTATCCGACAGAGTAACCGATGTTGCATCTTACTTACTTATTTAGGTATATCGTTCACAAATATTTGCTAAAATTGTTAGAAGACACCACCAAATGTTCATCACATGGTTTTTACATAATGACTTAACACCAAATTCCTATGTGATTTCCTGATACGCAAATAGACGAAATGCTGCAGTTTTAGAGCTTTCATAGTCCCCTAATTAAATCCATTACGAGGTCATATGAAAAATTATTGTACAAACCAGAAAGGTTCATCACGATTGACCCACTGCTGTCTTCTGAAAATGCCGCAGAAATCATACATCAACAAGATTCGTTACTTACTTCTTAAGCCAGCTCCAGATGATGCGGTCACTTGCCAAACACTCGTCAAACACAAATTTGTTAAATATTTGCAGATTATATGAGTAACCTACATCAAGTAATCAGTAATATTGTGCTTTAAAATAAAACAGGGAAATATGCAGTATTGTATTGGGGCCGAAAAAATTAATAAGTAACCAACTTTTTCGAAGTAACGAAATGCAACGAATAGCATATTCGCAAATTACCCATTTTTTAAGAATTTAGGGGGTATTTTGCCCAAAATCGTGGGGAGTGCTGGCACCGAACTGATTTCAGATTCATATTCAACGGATTTAAAAACAGCAATAACAGGGTCTGATCAAAAGACCACTTTTTTGAGTGTCTGTGTATAGTTATTTACAGAATCGAATTAATTAATTTGTTTCTCTGTGCATTCACTTTTTAATCAAATAAAAATCAATAATTTGCTCACTATTTTATTCTCGATTTAAAAATTTGAAAATATTTAATTTACCTACTAGCGATGGTTAGTGAAAGTAAAAGAGGTCATATTTTTATAAAGAAGCATGCGGAACTTTCATGATGAAAAAGTTGTGGGAGAAATTTCGAAATAATAAATTAAAAATAAGGCAGCAGTTCCTGGGATCTCGAAAAGGGTTGCACTATATGTGCAAAATATTGTTCTTTTTTGTAATCTGATAGATACAAATACTGACCCGTTTTTTTTATTTTTCCAAAATTTTCAGCTTTTACAAAGTTCTAATATTATGAAATTTAAATTTAAATAGGTGTAACTACAAAGAAAATTTATTTTTGTGATAAATAAAAAACCATTGGACTATTTTTGAAAAAAACCCTTAGAAAGCGCACATAACTTCATAAGTGACATAAGTCACCTGTGTATAGAGATTAAATAAAATATTTAGCTTATTATGTAAGAACATATTAACAAAAAAAGTTGGACCCAAAAGTCTCCTGATGTACTTAATTTTACATAGTGGATGGACGTAGTAATGTTTACTCTCATTTATTTTTAAGTTTAGCTCACTGTTATGACAATACTATGTACTAAAGGTTTTACAAAAACGCTACATTGTACCGTTTTGGAAATAATTGACAAAATGTTAGGCATCAAATTATTTTTTTAATAAACAGTTAGTCAAAAAGTTATTTACAATAGCTTACGATAAATGACTTTTCAACTCCCGAAAACGAAGTGTAGAATCCGCTAATAAGTTTGACAAAGCACTGTGTTCGAACATTTTTTTCCAAAACAAAATTGTTATAAATTTATAAATCTATATAAAATTCTATACAATTTATATGGATTTATGTCCTCACGACTAAACAGAGGCAAAGTTCCCTCTAAGCCCACTAATTTTTCGAAAGTTGCGCCGCCGTTTTTGTATTCCGCGCACAATGGGCTTGTTCACCATTTTTTACAAATTTCATTTTATAAAAGAATTGCATCTAAAAATGGCAAAAATCAAAATTTCATTAAAAAAAAAAGTAAACTTTAGAGGGTCAAAATTTGTTTTAACATTTTGGTTCCCGCTTTTGTACCGCGCTGTCAGCGAAAAAAATAGAGGGAACATTGGACAGAGTGGAGTGCTTACCCCTGCATGCATAAAATTTTGTTGTTTTTTATTAGTTTTTGTTATTTTTTTAATAGTTTTCGTAGCTTATTCATGCCTCCCTGACACATTTCAATTTCCAATCAAAATATTTTGTTATTGTTATTAGTTGGTATGCCCTGCATTTGAAATATTATTTAAATACGATTTATCAGGAGTAACATCTAAACATTTACAAAATTTATATAAACTGTTGCAAATTGCAGTGTTATTTACAGTGTTTTAAAATGATTTTATTAAGAATTTTAGTAAGCTACGTCAATTAGACATTTTATATTCACCAGACAAGTAACGAGCAGCGGAGCGGTCGGGCTCCATTTCTTGCACAGTAGGGAGCCGCAGACCCCCATAGAGCCTGGTCCCCACTTCAAGTGTCTTGGAAATTACCTGTCAACCAGAGCGGTGTCTGTAGAGATTCATACCGAATCGTATACCGACCGCGTTATGCCTAATACTAGGTTGTTCCGAATATTAAAACTATAAATTATATCACTTTGGATATAGTACTACCGGTTATATTAAGAAAACAAAACTACTGAATGGTTAAAAATAACTCACACCATCACGTACTACATTTTGTGGTTTTTGTGTTGAATTGGCCGTGATTTTTTACACATACTATACCATCTGATCAAACTCAAAGCTACTACAGCTACACAAAATTACTTTTATGACTGATAGGTTTAGGTGGCATCATGTAACCTAAAAGTAATAAAATCTTTACAAGAGTCTAAAATTGCCAAATTTTATTTAAAAATTAAATTATTTAATTAATTAACCATAACAATTTTGAATAATAATAAATAACAAAATCCAAGAACGAAGTTGACTGGTACGGTACAATTTTTAATATTTTTTCCGCAACAAATAGAAAAACAAATACATTAGGTACATTATTTCTACAAAACATGCAATTAGTTTGTAGAGTGTTCAAATGCAAATTCATTTAACAGCATACTACTTAATTGATAGCTGTTAACAAAATAAGTAAAAAACAAATGAAGCTCAAATAAATACATATTTCTAAAAAATTACAGAATTTACCACCAAACAAACTTCTGATACACTGGAAATAAACGTAGTTATCAGGGTTAAAATAAAACACCTCATCACTGGTATACAAATGAATTTATTTATATATTTATACAAATACTGAGTGTATTTAAAAAAATGCATGTAAAATTTTTATAAACCATTATACGATATAAAATATTATAAAACGATAAAAGATACCATCTTATATATATATATATATATATTGAAATACATATGATTTTAAGTGATTTTGATAAATTAAATGTAGAATAAACTTAGATTATCTACGTATGAAGATTAAAATTAAACAGTGATTGAACAATAAGTCACAAGAAATGCTAAAAAGTTATATTATATAAAATGAAATATCATATTGATTTAAAAAAAAGATGGAATTAAATTATTAAATTATTAGTATTATTAGAATTACTTATTAAATAATCATTTGGAAAATTAAATTAAAAAAAAAATATATTGTTATTATATGTAAGAACGTTGTAAATTATAAATATGTTTGTATGGTAACGAGGTTTTGAATGGAAAATTTAAATATAAAAAGAAAGGAAGAGAAGGTGGTGAAAAAAGATGTCAAGATAGTTTTTTCTGACAGAACGTTGATATTTGGAAGAGAAAAGAAAGAATAATCAGCAAATCAGTCTGTATTATTACAAAATACTTCGTTGGATGAAATTTAGAAGTTGATTTATCATTGTATTCAGGATTTGGCAGTTATAATATTGCAGAAAGAAATTTGAATTTAAATAGAATGTGAATCCGAGTGTAGGATTAGTATAATACAAGTGGAGTCTAATATCTACAAGGACATAAAAAAGGTGTTGGACAGACAATCAGTAAGTGAATAAGTTTTGTTGTGTACGTCAAAGTAGAATAACATTATAGTCAAACGAACGTCGAATTTTAGCTACTAAAGAATTGTTTTGGACAGTTAGAGTAGGTGTAAATATAAGATATAGAAAAAGCAAATGTAAATAATGAATAAATTTTGGT